TGCATTGAATAAGCTATTTTATAATTATTTTTACTGAAGTTGAATCGAGAAGCTATTAATTAAAATAATTTATTCAATTATGTACATTAATTCATATATATATATATATAGATACATAAAATTTGTATAATTATATTATATGTAATTTTTATTATTAAATGCCTTTTTTCTGAATGTGGTAAAACCGGCTCCGCTACATATACGCACAAAAGCTTCTTTCGACGGACAGTCGATGACCCCGCGAAGAATTAGGGAACGTATATCTGCGACGAAAGTACATCAGCCTCTTCAATTCTGAAGGCCAAGGTCATCTCTGTGCACTGTATAACGTAAAATATAGTGATTCGTGATGATACAAGAAGGATGTTCAACCGGTTATGAGTGACTTGTCGCTAATTTTTGAGTAACTGATGATTATAGCTCGTTGGTATTTCTGTTCATTCCGCTCGAGAATTAAATCTTCAATATTAGAACATATTCAAATTTATGATATCTTCAATAATGACATAATGACATAATAAGATTTTTTAAAACTATGAAGGCAATCTTGCAATTAATGTTTTTTTCAATAAAATAAGATATAATATAGAATACGCGTGATACTTTATTAATATAATAAAAATTTTGTTCAATAGAGATAAAATTTAATATCAAAGCACCAAAGTTATCAAGCTTTATTCTATTCTTCTTACTCTGTGTATATGCCCTTCATTACAAAGAAAAATAAAATAAATTACATATCGCAGTAATATCTCGTAATTTTTTAATATCCTTGTTTTTACTTTAAAGAATGATATATGATATAGATTTGCGATTTATAAATAAGAAATCAGAGAGGCATTTCTCCGAAACGTTGACACACAAATATATTTATGTGTATTTTATTATTATTTTGAGAAATAGAAGATTCATTCAAATATTTTTATAAGAGCAAAAAGACCTGCGATATAATATCGTGTGCCACTTCATCACATATCTTAAGGTAGTGGTTTTGTAAATTGCGACATTTGTAGCGTGAGATATTTTTCAAGAAAAGATCTTTTTGTTACATTTTATGAATATCTCGCGAACGCGACTGAAGACGATCGCACGCGAATAAGAGATGCAATAAAGTATCTTTATTAATATAATACAATTTTATATAATAGAGATTAAATTTATCTCTATTATTCTATACATTCTTAGTTAAAGAAAAATCAAATTAATTGTATATCGCAGTAAAGTCGCAATTTTTCAATATTTTAGTTTTACTTTGAAGTATAATATATGGTATAGATTTACGGTCTATAAATAAATAGAGAGGAAATTATACTTTTTCCGTAATATTGACATATGGATATGTAATATCTGCGTATTTTTTATAAGAGACAAAAGATTTTAGATTAAAATATTTTTACAATAAAAGAAGAAACTTGCGATAAATATTTGTGAGCTATTTTATTGCGTACCTCAAAGTAGTGGTTTTGTAAATTGCGACATTTATAGCGTAAAACTTTTTCCAAGAAAAGATCTCTTTATTACATTTAGCGATGTTTCGCGAAAAGTCAGGCGGCTGGAGATGGTCGCACGTGAATTAAAGATGCAATACGACGATGTCTTTGAAAAAGTTACAAATACTTCTTCTCGCGGCATATCTCGCCTCAATATGACGATTGCATACTTGCGACAGTAGTCCTCGGATTCAGAATGCTCTTCCATAGAGATATTACCGTGACATTATCGGTGTACAGATTTGCTCTCAGTTGGGTGGGCATCTGGCCTGTGAGAGAAAAAAACATCTTCATGGACCTCAGATGGATTATCGCCGTATTTTTTGAAGCAAGTACCGTTAAATTAGTCATTGATTATATATAACATTCATTTCCGTAAATTTTAATAAGATATTAATATTATTTTGATATTAATATCTAAATATTTTAACGGGATGTTTCAACTAATTTTAGTAAACAAAAAAGTTTAAGTAACATTAAATAAAATAGATTAAGATATGTTTTAGAGCTGCCACATTTTCTGTAACTGTAACTGTGAAAGTACCGTAAGAATTAGCCAATCGTTGCGCAGTCAAGAATTGTCAAAAACTTTCAACTTTGAATGGCTAATTTATGGTATGTCTTATTGTTATGGAAAGTGTGCGAGTCTCTAAACATTAATATATAAAGAAAAAAAGAAAGGTATTTTCGATTAAAGCAGATGTTGATGTTTATATTTGATGTATATATTAGTAATATTTATATGTATAAATATACAAATAAAATTATTAATTTTATAGACAACTTTTGATTTGATGAATTTGAAATGCAATCATAAACTGAAATAATAATTTCACAACTAAATTAACTGATTGTTGATTTAATAATAATGCTACTAGCATCATAAATATTTGTATTTTACACATGAATATTATTATCGTGAGCAAAATTTTGAATATGATTTTTTTTCTTATTTTATAATTTCAATAGATTTTATTCATATGTCAATTTGCTATATCTAAATATCTCATAAAACATTTTTCTAGTTACACTGTCAAAGTTTCTAAAAAATGCGATACTTTCTTCAGATATTAAAAATCTTGTATAATTTTTATGTTAAATATAGTTATTTTTTTAATTATATTTATACTGTAAAATACTGAAATTTGTATATTTTTAATTGCTAAATCGTAGTTAAAATTTTAATAAAAATATATAGTAAATTTCATCAATCTGTATTCATATATTTTCTTCAATGCGGAAATTAATTTTATATTCCTATTTTATGGTCTTAAAAATATCGTTCTAAAATTAAAACTAATTTTATCACTTGTTACTATTTTTTGTATGCTAATTTCACACACACACACACACACACACACACACAAAATCGCGAGCGCGCGCGCGCACACACACACACACACACACACATACGCGCGCGCGCGCGCGCACAAAGAAAGTATCTTAATAATTCGCAATCGTGTTAATATATATGTATGAATAATATAAATTCTGTATTATGCATATAATATAAATAACATAAATAATTAAATTTCTTTTTTAATAATTATTGAACAATATGTATAACAAGCTTTTATTTTCTAGGTAGTTCCAATGTCCGTTTATTTTACCGAAATCTATCTGCATTGTAATAGCAAAAAATCTCTTGACTCGATAACAACTGGTGCCGCTGGCGCATTAGCCCTCACAAGATTAATCACACCTCGTATCCATCGAGAAGAATTACTTGAGATAATCACCTCCATGATGGACGATTGGGCCATGCAGAAAGATAAAAAAATTCGTTGGATCATGGAGAAATATGCGACAATGTCGATACGAGTGACGATACTTACTTTCATTCTTGTGGGTATCATAATAGGTGGTTACGCCGTTATGGCGATATCAGCGCTCACAGCGAAAACAGGACAACTTGATAATAATAGAAGTCAATCTTGCGTATTTCGAACCGCATCGTTGCAACAGGCGTTTATGGTGGTTCAGGCGATGCAAATGTTCATAACTGGTATAGTAACCTTTGGTACTACCAGTTTCTTTTTTGGACAAGTCATGCATCTGTGTTCCCAATTTGATGCATTGTGTATCAAATTATCGGAATTCCGAGTTAGCGAGGCACGTCGCGCAATAGCCGAAGCAATCCAAAGACATTGTCAACTTATCCGGTTGGCCGAATGTATAGAGGAGTCATTCAATACGAACGTTTTGTTGTACTTGTTCGTTACTAGCACTCTTATGTGTATAGATGGTAATATGCTTTGAAATGCGAAACTGTTAAATTTGA